TTTGATAAAAAGTAGCAGGATGGTTTTATTCAGACTTTATTTTTATTATAAACAAAATTTTTCAGATGTTATTCTACAATGTAAGCTTTGTAGGAGCAAGGATTGTGTTCTGTTTTGTATCTCCTCAGTGCCCGGCATGGTGCCTAGTACTTGTGAGTGCTCAATAAATACTTTTAAAATATATTACTAGCAGTCATAGTGTAAACCTTCATCTACTGAATGCTTACTCGATGGCAGAACTATGCTAGACACTTCCACATACAGGTTAAAACAATAACCCTCTGAGTCATCCCAATTTTGGGCACAGGGATGCTCTGAAGCTAGGATAGGATTGAGCCTGAGCAAAGTTAATGAGGGAAAAAAATTGTGAACCCAGGGAGCAGGGAGGTCCCAATTATCGCAGTTTTAAAAGATATTTAAAACTAAGGTCTAGAGAAAGTGTCTCATATTATTAATATGTGGGGGCTTCCCACCTTCCTCTTCTTTTGCTTGCTGTTATAGGCTGGATATTTGTGGCCCCCCAAATTCATATGTCAAAATCCTAACCCCCAAGGTGATAGTATTAGGAGGTGGGGGATTTGGGAGGTAATTTAGGTCATAAGGGTGGAGCCCTCATGACTGGGATTAGTGTCCTTATAGAAGAGACTCCAGGGAGCTCTCTAGCCCTTTTTCTGCCATGGGAGGGAGGCCCCAATGAGAAGGTAACCATCTGCAAGCCAGAAGGAGAGCCCTCACCAGAACCCTACCATGCTGGCCCCTGATCTGAGACTTCCAGCCCCTACAGGTGTGAGAAATAAACTTCTGTCGTTTACACACCACTCAGCCTGTGGTAGTTTGTTACAGCAGCCCAAACCGATGAAGACACTTGCCCTGGCTGTCCCTGATCTCCCTCTCTAAGGAGAAAAAGATAAAAGCCAAGCTTATGAATTATTGCAAGAAAAATAGAAAAACTGAGTAGAAATCTGCCATCTTCAGGGTGTTGTGCATCAGATGGGGGGTGAGGAGGAGGGGGTATGCCTTGTCTGGGATCATGCAGGATTGGGCACGGCTTAGTGGAGAGGGACATTGAGGGGGCAAGATGGTGGGGTTAGGATGTAGTAGACAGGAGAGTGAAATTGGCAAGGTAGAGGAATGAGAGCTCCCACAGAGTTATTAGGAGCTACTTTGGCGTAAGTGTTTGCTTCTCTGAAACGTGTGATAGATTGTCGTGTCAAGACTGAACTTTCAGGGGGAACAAGTATTTCTGTTAATGCAGCCATGTTCCTGGTTCAGCTAGAGCCTGGTTTGACATTAGGGTATATTGAAAGGTGTCGTCTCTATGGCTACAGCGTGTAACCCTGTCTTACTCCATCAGGACCTCCCTGCTCCCCGGGCTCACAAGGACTCTAGGTTTCTTCCCTCATTAACTTTTCTCAGACTTATTCCTGTCCTATTCACAAAGCATCTCTGTGCCCAAATCAGGAGACCTCAGATCTGAGTCACCGCCTGTTACTGAGATTTGTTACCCTTGGTGAATCATCTGGGAAAGGCACTGGCCTTGAACACTGGTTCTCCCTCTTATCTATTCTAAAGGCTGAAAACAAGTCATATTCATCAACTTAACTTTTCCTCCTTTGTGAAGTGTGAGTGATATCTACCCCTTATAGTTTTTAAGGTGCTGTGAGGATCAATTGAAATTAACCTATAAAAGTGATTATTAATAAAGTTTATCCCAGCCATTTAGCTTTGAAAACTTGTAGCCATTCATTTATTTAACAAATACTTATTAAACACGTATCATGTAACAGGTATTGTAATGGTGCTGGGGGAATAACAGTGGACAAAGTGGACAAAAGTCCCTGCCCTCATGGCATCTGCATTGTCGTGGAGGGAGACACCTGTAAACAAGTCAGCCACACAGTATAGCAGAAGGTGATGAGTGCTTCAGAGAAAAGAGAGCCAGAAAGGAGCAGGGGGTGCTACCATACTAAGTAGGGTGATCAAGGAAGAAGAAAGGCTTCACTGAGAAGTTAACAGTTCAGCAATAACCTCAGGAGCTGAGGAAGCAAGACCTCGAGACATCTGAGGGAAGACTGCCCTGGGCCAAAGTGAACCACTGGTGCCAAGACCCTGAGGCAAAGCCTGCAGGTGTAGGAGGGAGAGATCAGGACGGGGAGCAGCAGAGCAGGCAGGGGCAGCCAGCTCATGTGGGGCCCTGTCGTCCACTCTGAGGGCATTGATGTCTGCTCTAGGTGATGAGGGAGCTGCTGGGGGCTTTGGATAGAGGAGTGATAGGGGATGACTTACATTTTAAAAGGAGCCCTTTGGCTGCTGTGCTGAGAGCACACAGTGGGAGTGGCCAGGGTGGAAACAGGGAGGCCATTCAGGAGGGCAATTACTGTACCTCAGAAGGAGATGAAGAGCTCTTGGAACATCATGCAGGTGGCAGTGGAGAGTGAAACTGGGGAGAGGGGGTGAGGTCTTGGCCGTCTTCTGAAGGAAGGACCAACAGGATTTGATGTGGGTTCGATTTGGGGTATGAGGAGTCAAAGATGATTCTAGCTTTTGGCCAGAGCAGCTGGAACAATGGAGCCATTCTTTAATAAGATGGAAAAAGACAGTGAGAGAAGCAGGTTTCGGGGGAAGATTCGGAAATCAGTTCGGGACATATTAGGTCTGAGCTGTCTATTGGACACACAGCAGAGTAGCTCATTGGATAGATGGGTCTGAATTTCAAGAGATTTGGGGCCAGAGATATAAATTTGGGAGCCACCAGCTCATGGATAATATTTAAAAGCATGAGAGTGCGATGGTTAAGGCAGTGAGTGTAAATTAAGAAGAAAAGAGATTCAGCCTAAGGACTGATCCCTGGGGCTCTAATGCTAAGAGTTTGAGTCCATGGGGTGAATTATCAAAGGGGACAAAGGAGTGATCACAGGGGTTGGAGAAGGACACCTTTAAGGCAGAGAGGGGCAAAACCTGATTTATATGGGTTCAAGAGAGACTGGAAAACAATGCATATAGACAACTTTCTGAGGCATTTTGGTGTAAAGTGGAGCAGAGAAATAGGATGGTAGCTTGGGGAGAGAATAGGGTCGAGAGAGAGGTTTTTTTTCTTGTTTGTATGTTTTCTCGTATGTTAGTTTTTTAAGGATAGGAGAAATGACAGCAAATCGTGTTGCTGGGAATGATTCAGCAGAGGGGACAATTGGTGATTTGGAGATGGAAGAGAATTGCTGGAGGGACGGCCTGGAGTGCAGTTGGGCACAGGTGCTGGAGGCGTGGGGTGGGAGTCTGAGGGAATCTTCTTGGATTGCTTCTTTCTTTTTCAGTGAGATGGGAAGCAAGTCATTGGTCCTGAAAAGATGGTGGAAGAGGTGACGCTCCCCCTTTCTTTTTTACCACATAGCCAATTAACCATTCCTGTCGCTTCTAACATGGAAATGTTCCCTGTGGGCCCTCCTTGTTTCCATGGCTACCAACATTAGTTTCGTTGAATCGCAGAGTATCTGTGTTGTTGTGGCCCAACAGTCCCAACCGCCAGCCTCTCTCCATGGCAGTCTGTTGTGAATACAACTGTTGGCTAACTCTTCCTAAAATATCTTTCTGTCAGAGTTCTGCCTCTTTTTGAGGGAGTCTTTCTGTCAAAACCCTTCCTGGGCTCCCCGTTAAAGAGGATGAAGCCCAGTTACTCGGTGAGGCTCAGGACTCTGGCAAACTCTCTTTGTTCTCCAGGACTGGCCGCCTCATCTCCCTGTGCCCTGAACTCACCACCCTCACTGCTTCTGTACCTCTGCTTGCACAAACTAGTTCTGGGCCCTAAGGGAAGACTTATTTTTCTCATCTGTGAAATGAGGAACAGGACAATAATGGTGCATAACTCTTATGGCTGATTTTAGGTTTCAATGAGACAATCACAGTAAGTTATTTAGAATAGTTCCTGACATAGTGAAAGTCCTAAATAAATTTTAGCTATTCCTATTCTTATTCTACTTATTTAAAGCCCCTTGCTTCTTTCTTCCTCATCAATTTTCCCTATCCTCTAAGACATAGCTGGCGTATCTTCTCTTTCACAAAGTCTTTCGTATTCACCCTTTCCTGCCTATGCTGATCTCTTTCTTCCATCTCTCCCTCATTTCAGTGTGTAACCAGATACTCCCTGCAAATGTGACTCTGTTACTCCAGTGTTGGAGTATCCCATTTCTTAAGCTAGATTGCGAACTTTTTGAGGACAAGGGTCATGCTTCTTAACCTCTTATAGCCCCATTACCTTGTAAGTTGCTATATTACCAAGGCCTTAGATTTTAAAGAGGACATTCCACTGGTTCAACTTGTTGAAGAAATAAATTCTTTTTTTTTTAATCCTGCAAGCTGTGATTCTTCTCTTTCTTGGGCCCGTTTTGCATAAGGTATGCAGCAAATCCGCAGCCTCCTTCCCAGGACCATCAGTCTCTCTTCACAGACCTCACGGCAACTCTCTCCCACCATCTCCCCTTTCCAGGCACTTTTCAGGACAGCGGGTCAGTTCCTTACCCACTCACAGCCCCACCTTCCTTTCCTCTGCATCCTCCAGTGCTAGGAACCTGTTTTTTCCTTCCCTTCAGAGAGCAGTTGCCTATCTCCAAGCTTTTTTGTTTTCTCCTTTCTTCTCTTTCCCAAGACACCTTTGCTTTGAAGAGGCAGCTGAAAAGGAGTAGATTATTTCATTTTTTATGTTCAGCAAAAGAAAAAGTAGGAGGCTTCATAAGGAAAATTGGCAAGATCTAAAGTTATTTGCATTTCATAAGAATCAAAAGTTTTCTAAGTTTTTTTTTTTTTAAAGGAACTTTCAAATATACCAAAAGGTAAAAAAAAAAAAAAAATTGATCCGAATGTTGAAACATCTGCTGCAGATCTGGGGGCTTTGAATTTAGCAGCTTTAGATTGGGACCAAGAAATTCTCTGAATTAGAAACTCACTTGCTACTAGCTTGGCTTGATGCAGCGTTTCATCCCCAACGTTCCTCCTCCTTTTCCTTTCAGAATATAACCGAGCCAAACAGCTCGTCTGCGTGCCCGTGGATGTGTCGGACACTTTGAGATGTTTCAGAGAGACCCTGGAAAAATCCAAACATCATAACAGATCAACGCGGCACAGCAGAAAGTTGCTTTTGTTATTTCTTGCACAAACACAAGGTAAAATGCTTGTTCTATATCGCTGAGTCTTTATTCATGTGGGTTTATCACCTTGCGTGATGGTCCACGTTCTGCCCTCACGAGCTTCCCTCTTCTCTCTTACACTTTACTCCAACCAAGGCACTTTCTCACTCACCTACTTTTATGCTTTCTGTAAAACTAGCAAAATCCCTTGAGTGCTGTAGATATGAAAACAAAATCCCTTGAGTACAGTACATATGAAAACAATATTCATTCTGTACATTTATATTCATACAGTTTTCTTTGCAGGTATGATACTGTGGTCTTTTTTTTCACTTTCATACGTAGATGGATTGAGTCATACTGGATTAACTAGAACCTTTCACCAAAATACTCCTTTATCAATGTCAAAGAAATGGAAACATTTACAAATAAGAACCAACAAGATTTCTTATTAATACCACAGATTTTGATCTTAGAGATCTTACTGCATTACATTTATTTGTTACATTTATTTGTTTTCTTCCTTTTCAACATTATCAGTTTGCGAATTCAACCAAAGCAGGGCTTTGAGTGGTTAAGTGGTACCCTCACAGAAAGAGGATACATTCAAATTTAGGCTGGGAAAAATCCCGAAATATCTATACTTAGGTTACTTGAAAATTTTTTAAATCCTAATTTATATTTATGATCCTTGCTGTTCAAATTTATCAGAATAGTAAGAATAAACTTAGATAATAGACTTAAACTTAAAATAATTATATTTTAAAGTTATTAAAATAGATTTCAACTTATACCTAATTAAGATACTAATTTCCACTGAACTGATCTTTTAGAAATTTGGTCTTTTTTTATAATAACCATTGGCAGAGTTTTATTCATTTATTTATTTATTTGTTATTGTTGTTGCCATCCTCCACATGCCCCCCAAAAAAACCCACTTTCTATGATATGTATCCATAGTTTTTGGTTGTATTGTCTGTAGACTCACATTACATAAAATTAGCTCTCCACATCGTTCACCTCTTTCAGTTACTTCATACATTAACAATGGATAAGGTCATGAATAAAAAAAAAATCAAATACAGTTCCTAGGAATGGTTTACACCAACTCACTCTGAATCTCAGCTGATACCAAAATATTCTCAGTATTCTCAATATCCCCAGTCCTCTGGCCGCAGACTTCAAAATCCATGTTAGTTCTCTCTCTGCTGCTTTTGACCATGTACTTCCCCTAAGATATTTTTTCTTTTATTCCCTGTGTGTTCTCTGATCTTATAAAGAGACAGGCTCTTTCCCATTTTTTTTTCTGTTTCAGGCCAGAACTACCTCTGTATTGCTTCTATCCCAAAGGTTTCTGCCCCAGAGGCAAACTAGCATCTTACTGTTGGAAGCTATTTAAAAAAGGCAAACTCACCAGTCCCAGAGAAGCAAAGCATCATCTCAACATTCGCTTTCTGGCTAACTGCCCCTCCGTAGTGCTCTATGAAATAGCAGGGATATCTACTCCACCTGGGATCTTCAGAAACAATCCCAGATGTTAAGTTTAAGGAAACGTGTCCCTCAAACAGCAAATAAGTTTCAGCTGTACACAGAATCTTTCCATTTCCTTTCCTTTTCGTTTCCTCTACCTTTTTTCTCCCCGCCACCTTCCCATCTTTCTTCATTTTAAATTTCTTTTTTATTATTTTTTTTCATGAATTTAGGAGAGAAAGGAGGAATGAACAATTCCAAATTCACTTCTGGCAAGGTGGAATTTTGCCTGGGGACGGAAGAGATGCATATGTCCACACCCCCTGACCTTTCTCAGGAGCACTTCAGAGTTTTTAGCTCAGTGGAGAAGAGCAAACTCCCCTATTCACAACTTGGGCTCGTGATTTCTTCTTATCACCAAACTATTGGTAAGATTTGTCCATTATGTTTTCAATACGATCTTCCTCATTAATGCTAAGATTGCATCTGGTCCTAAAATGTTATCTTAAAGGATGCAAGAGCTTGAACTATAGTCTATTCATCACACACTTGTAGGCAGTGACAGAACAGTTGGAGACAGAAGATGCTTTCAGCCCCTCTGATACCCTCTCTCCTATCCTGGGTGTCACCATTGTGAGAGTCTAGGCCACCCTTTGTCTATCCCTCTTTAACTGGAACTGTGAACCCCTGTGGGGGTGGGGGTGATGCCCATTTGCTCTGGTCCCAGCTGATTCCATTTTCCTTGTCTTTTCCCTTGATTTGGCTTTTCTACAAATTCAGCAGTATATTCTCAATCCATATTATAGATCCAATGTCCCCCTTTTTTCTAACAGGCATTTTATAATTTCCTCTTTACTTCCTGAAATAAAATTTATACTTAATATATTCTTATTATACATATTATTTTGAAAAAGTCATTACGAAGCCAAAATATAAAATGGAGAAAAAAATAAAACAAAATCACTTTATAATAAAAGAATCTGTGTGTTAGTGTGTAAAGGCTCAGGCATTAGAAGGTATAAAGAAGTAGTCAGATGTTTATATTTAGGATGTAGAATCACCATGAATGTGACAGCTACAAATGCAGACTGATGTGGGTGTGTTGTATCGGTGACCCAAGTGCTATCAGCATTGTTAAGTTTCATGACGTGATTTTTTTAAAATGGCAAATAAATCTTGGTAAAATTCTGAACAAAACAAAGTACTGCAGTGGTTACATTTCTTGAAAATTCAGGGCATTTAGAAATCATGCAAAAATGCCCTTTGTATGTGTAAAATGAAGTTAGATGTTAGACTCAGTTAGTTATAAACAGGTTTCTCATCTTTTCCTTCACTGTGGAGGAAGTTTCTGTGCCTTGCAGGCCATCTAGTATCTTTGGTCTTAACTTGTGAATTACCAGGAGATGTCCCATTGTGACAACTAAGCAAACCCTTACTCAGATTTCTAAAATACCCTTTAGGAGACAGTACTGCCCTCGTTAGAAACCACTGCCATGTCAGTTGGTTTTTTTTTGCTATACATTCCTGAAACCATGCATTTATTAGAAAACAACAACAACAACAACAAATTCATGTGATATTAAAGATATGTTTTCTGCATTCAGGTAAATTCAGGTATATTCTGTGATCTTGTCACATCTCTGCTAAAAAACAAACCCTTTGAGTCTCCCCATCTGCTATGGGATAATGTCCACATTTCTCCATGCGGCATTCAGAGGACTCCTGCATCTGACCGCTTCCTCCCTCTTCACTCTCCTGATTCACCCTCTCCAGAAAACCATGCTGCAGTCATACCTAGCATTCGCATATACCCATCCTTTTTTCCCCTCACATGCCTTTTCTGAGCTTCTCTTCTCCACTATCTCTCCTTGCCTGACTCTTATTCCACTTTCTCCATGAAGCCTCCTTGTTACTATCTGTTAGATCCAATCTCTCACAGCTCTGTGTTCAAACAGAGCACCGTTTGCTTTGCTCTCCGCATGTATACATTGCATGACATTTGAAGGCACTATTCGCTTGAATTTGACTTATTACAATCCACACAGTTAAGGAATAATGCAGTTTAAAATATTCTTGCAAATATAAGGAAAATATTTTTCCAGGAACTGATATTTGTTCTTTTACTTGACTGAAAACATAGATGTTCTTCAAGCCAGCAATCAAAGAAGTCTTAAAGTTCAGGCACTGCATACTCTTGGAAGTCTTCTCGTCTTCGCAGAAAAGAAAAGGTAGATTTTTAAGAGTCAGTAGAACAAGGGCAAACTTGTTTGTTTGAAAAGATTTTTAATTATTGTGCAAAAAAATTGTCCTTTATAAATTTTAGTTCTTCAGTAATACTACATTGCTCCATTTTATTATTTTTTATTTTTCGAGACAGAGTCTTGCTCTGTTGCCCGGGCTAGAGTGCCGTGGTGTCAGCCTAGCTCACAGCAACCTCAAACTCCTGGGCTCAAGCGATCCTCCTGCCTCAGCCTCCTGAGTAGCTGGGACTACAGGCATGCACAACCATGCCTGGCTAATTTTTTCTATATATTTTTAGTTGTCCAGCTAATTTCTTTCTATTTTTAGTGGAGATGGGGTCTCGCTCTTGCTCAGGCTGGTCTTGAACTCCTGAGCTCAAATGATCCGTCCGCCTCGGCCTCCTGGAGTGCTAGGATTACAGGCATGAGCCACTGCGCCCGGCCTACATTGCTCCATTTTATTCATCAGATGCTACCTGAGAGAAATTGTTATGAACAATGACTGGAGAGATTTATTCTCTAACATGTCAGTCGATGTGTTTCTGCAGTGTACTTGCTTTCCCTTCTGGAAGATAAATTTACTAAGGGGTCTCAGAAAATGCACTGACTGATGCTCTGTTTCTGTTTTAGGGCTGCTTTTAAGTGTTGGTGTCAAGCTCTTGATGACATATTCAGAAAACCAGATGTTCTACATACATGGAAAGAGTTTGGCACGTCACTCACCAATGCCACCAACAGCTCTTCACCTCCAGGTTTCAAAGACTACAGTGAAGAGTTTCTGTCAAAAGTTGGCATTTGGGGGTGTTTGCAAGGAGCAGTCATATCAGCAAAGATAGCACAGTGAGTGTGAGGACGGAATGATCTGCATCATAGCTAATACTTCCTTTGTGGGTGCCCACCTGTGCCCTGGAGAGTGTCATGCCTCTCACACACTGGATTCTTGGGCAGTCATGTTCTTATCATACAGGGTGGAGCAATTTACTTATTTGCGATGTTTATTGTTTATGACCATCTTCATGTAACACCTCCCACCCCCCAATATATGAGCACCACGTGGGCACAGGTGTTTGCTTTGTTCTCTGATGGAAGCCAAGTGCCTGACCTGGAATTGGAGTTCATTGACTACTTGTTGAATGAACAAATGAGTGAAGGAACAGTTAGTATGGGAGCAAGAAGAATAGTGCAGAGTTAGCCGACTTGGGCCTAGTTCAAGAGCATCCTAGTAACCCATGCCCCTCAGTAAGGTCTGCATTCTCTCTGAGCCTCAGGGTCCTCATCTGTAAGCCAAGGTGGTAAGAATTACATGACATATTGTATCAGTTTGCTGGTGCGGCTATAACAACGTACCACAGACTGGGTGGCCTAAACAACAGAAATTTGTTATCTCATGATTCTGGAGGCTGGAAGTCCAAGATCAAGGGGTTTGACTGTTTTTTTTTCTGAAGCCTCTCACCTTGACCTGTCAATGGCTGTCACGTGGTCTTCCTTTTGAGCATGTCGATGTCCTAATCTCTTCTTATAAGAACATCAGTCATATAGGATTAGGGCCCACCCCACAACCTCATTTTAACTTAATTACCTCTTTAAAGAACCTATCTCTAAGTACAGTCACATTCTGAGATTACTGGGGGTTAAGACTTCAACATATGAATTTTGAGGGGATACAATTTGGTCTGCAACACATACTGTATTTGTGTTCTATTGCTGCTGTAAAAAATCACCACAAACTTAGTGGCTTAAACAACATAAATTTATTGTCTCAGAAGTCCTAAAATCAGTGTCAGCAGGGCTGTGCTTCCTCTGGAGGCTCTAGGGAAGAATCCATTTCCTTGTCTTTTCCAGCTTCCAGAGGCCTCCTGCAGGCCTTGGCTCATGGCCCCATCTTCCATCTTCAAGAACAACAGCCTCGTGTCTTTCTTTCTCTCTCCCTTTCTCCCCAGTGATTCCATCCTCACATCTCCTTCTCTGACTCTGACCTTCCTGCCTTTCTCTTATAAGGACCATTTTCATAATCCAGGATAATCTCCCCCATCTCAAGGTCCTTAATTTAATCACACCTGCAAAGTCTTTTTTGCCTTGTAGGGTCACATATACATAGGTGCTGGGGATTAGAACATGAATATCTTTGGGGGGCATTGTTGAGCCTACCACACATAACTTACGTGAATGTCTATAACAGTGGCTTATACACAGCTAGCACTCACAAATATCTTAAATATTTAATTAACATGAGAAATTATAAGGTATGGCAGGAGTAGAGGCACAGGTTTCCTTCACCTCTCCAGTTACTTCTTTAACTTACCTGTAGGGAGTGGTGGGCGAAAACCTGGGAAGTATTTTGAGCTGTAGAGCAAATTGAAAAAAAAAATTAAGTCTTCCTGGCTAGTAATCACATTGTTTTCAGAAAATTAGCATCTTTGGGCTGGTAAGAAAGTACCAGTTTGAAAGGATTAAACATCACAGATTTAAACCTCTGTCAAGTTTGATGGTTTATACTCCTGGGATGGAATTCATCCTTAGACACACATACTGTCCCCAAACAAGTCTGGGCTTATGACTTAGTAGAGCTTGGTGGTGGGGAATATAACAGCCAAGGAAGGTTCACAGCTTGGAAAGGAACAGCTATCGCATTCCTGCTAAAGGGCACCTCAGCTTCTCCGAGCCTCTGGAATTATTACCTATTGATTTTCAATGAACAGAAAGTCATTTCCTGGTTACCCAGCTGGAAGTCTGAGTTCCACAGGAGATGTGATTCTACAAGGGCTTTGGCTATTTTCCTGGACTCCATGAGTAGAGGAAACTTCTCCCCACTGAAACATACCACACTTGACTATCCACTCAGAGAAGCTGAACTCAGATAGGCATTGTTATTAAGACAGTGAAGCTGACTGGCTTTATCTAAGTAAGACGTAGGAGGAGGTAATGTGGCTTATAGTTGCAAATGTGAATTTTAAGACCCATATAAAGAAAACTCAGACTCTTCTAAGGGACATAAAATGAGACAGTAGTAAATGGAGAGACATTAATCATTGGTGGAGGTACTTAATGTTGTGAACGGCTCCATAATATACAGCTGGAGAGAACATACATTGCTTCAATCTTTTGGGGGAATTATTTAACAACACTCATCAAAAGCTTTAATTTTGCACCTCCTTTTACCAAAAAATTCCCCTTTTAAGGACTCATCCAGTGGACCTGATAGGATAAGTGCTCAAAAATGTAGGTATAACAATGTTTACCTCAGTAATCAAAAAAACCAAAATGGAGTTTAATATTTTTATATTATGATACATTCATACAATAAAATATTAAAGTTCTTTTAAATTATGATATAGTTCATTATGTCTGTGAATGACAAATTTGTTTATAACATAGTATGTATTGCATAATTGTAGTCTTGATATGTGTGCATGTATGTATTTCTATGTGTGTATAACTACACACAGAAAAAATATAGAAGGAATTGTTACTATAATAGTAATCATGTTTAGGTGGAAGGATTATAGATAGATTTTTTTTATTTTCTTCTTTTTCACATTTTCTTATTTTTTTTCTTGTATTTTAAAAATTCTAAATATGTGTCTAAAGACACATTTATATCAAAATATTTTTGGAAAATTGCCTGCTAATCAGTTTATTTTTCTTATACTTATTTAGATTTATTCAGACTTCGAACGTTAAAAAAAGAACCAACTGTTGCCTTTTGTCTGCGTTACTCTTTCAGGTAACTTTATGTATGTTTTTCTAAAGTAGACATTCAATCAGTAAAAAAAAAAGTGCATTAGTTTGTCATATTCATAAAAGTCACAGGTAGGAAAATAGCATAAACCTTGATTGTATATCACAAACCCATCTTTCTTTGGCTGGCTGAACCCCTCTGTGGTGCCTTTACCTTTAATATTCAGCAGAATTAGTTTTCTCTTATAGACTACAGAAGAAGGAGTTTTACAGGTAGAGAAACTGAGTCTCCTGTCATTAGTAAAATCATCATACTAGTAACCAATGTGAAGCCAGTCTGACTCCAAATGGTTACCTTAGGTTACCTTGGCTCTAAATTTGCTTGGTTACATCACATAAAATATATCTTATAATGAAGTTGAAAAATACGTTGAAGACTACAGAAAAGGCATGTTTACAGTTCTCAGAATTTTGGTTTGACTTCACAGAAGAAGAAAGGAGCTTTTATCTGAGATACAAGACATTTTGAGATTCTGAGATATAGCCAGGGGCCTTTGCAGTCTGCTTAAAGTTCTACTTACTTTGAAGGATGGACACCCTTGTTCTGTGTATCAGAGAAGTCTGATAGCTTATGAAATATAAATAGTTAAGTTCTTTGGGAAAGGCTTCTTTTCATTTAAGGCCAGACTTTTCAATTTCCTTATGTTCTATATGCCTCTTGCCTGTGCTTCAAAGGGAAGAGGTGGAAGAGGCAATTTGACTCTGCCTCCTTACATTGCATTCTTTACATTCTGCTTCTCCTTGTTCTTGAAGATAATGCTGTTTATGTTTTATAAAAGATGTGATTTTAGACAATATTTAGAGGGGAGAGAGACAAGATGGCTGACCAGAGACACCAGCTGCCACAGTGTCTCAGTAAGAAGTTTTAGATGAAAAGAGAAAAAACAAGCAAACAAACATAGATCTGGGTGTGGGTCTGAGGGAAGGGTGCCCGAACCTTCAGGAGACTCCAGGGGAAGAAGTTGCAGAGCAGAACAGGAAGGAGCAAGGTATTGGCAGAGATCAACCCCCAAGAGGCTTGGAGTCCAGTGAGAAGAGTAGGTGGTGCCGTTAGTTTCTCCCTACTTCATATCTCTGATAGTCAGCAGTGACCTGGGGGCTTCTTGTGGACAGGGCATCAGGATCCCAGCCCCCCTGGGGCACCTCTCATCTCCACAGACCTGAGCCAGGATGGCAGGAGCCCTATTGCTTCTCTACCCACTGAGCGCCTTTGTCCTCCCCAGGCTGCTTCAACTCCTCAGGTTTTGTCCTGCCCATTCCCACACAGATATTTCCCAACTCTGGCCCAGCCTGCAGGAGCCTCAGTGGCCCAGTGGGTCCCTGGGTGATCTGAATGACTCCAGTGTATGGACATTCTGGGTGGGCAGCCTCCTGGAGAGACGGACAAACATGACCAAAGTGCTAGCTTTCCTCCATCCAGACTCCTTTTCTCTCCTTCCCCTCCCCCACCCTCAGCTGCTGAGAGACAATTGAGACACCACACCAAGGCTTCCATAGAGAGTGTGGCTCAGACTTTTCCTCTTGGAGTCCTACAATGGACTGAGGGGTGCTCAGGATGTGAGCTCCCTGCCCACTGGCCCTCCCTGCTGCTGCTTGCCGGGTGACTCCATTAGAATGGGATACGCCTCCAAGGCAGAGGGACATCGAACCTGCTTGGGCACCCTGTGGGCAACTTGGAAATAGCAAATAGCATGCTTCTCCCTGGAATGGTCAGGGATTGATCTTCCAGGACCCAGGGACAGGCCCACTGGGCATATCCTGTACCCCCAGGTCTTGATCATGTTGCTCAGGGGCACAGAGGGGAGATTTGTGATTAGTCAGGGGGCATAAGCAGATCAAGGAGGAGAGTGCAGTGTGGGTCCTAGCTGCAGTGTTCTCACGGGTCACCCCTCCCCCTAACAGGAGAGTTGCACTTTCAGCTCAGGCTGGGATCTGGGGCAGGGAACCTCCTAGCCTGCATCACAGTTGTGGGGGAGTTTGGCTGGCTTGAGCTCCTGTCTGCTGGCAGATGTGGGGGGAGCTGTGGAGTAGGGGAGGGTGGAGAGGAGCAAGCCCCACTCCAGACTGGCAGATTGTGAATCTCTAGATGGACCCGCCTCCACAAGTAGACCTTCTGGTTGGATGGGGCCACTTCAGCCCCTCGGTGGTGGCTTTGCCCAGAAGCCGGGAGCAGACCTTTGACCCCTGCTGAAACAGACACCTTTCCAGCTGTTGTGAAGCTTGAAAGCGAGCTCACCCAACCCAGCCCCACCCTGCTGCATTCCCACATTTGCCTCTGCTGTGACAGAGAATAAGGACTCACCTGAATTTCCAGGGCTCCACCCAGCACCTGGGGCATTTGGGTGCTTCTCCTGAGGGGACTAGAGCCAGTCACAGGACCCCAAAACAATATTGCAGCTTGTTCTTTCCAGCAAGCAGCACCTACTGACAGGGAGGTCAATTTACACACCTTTTACTGCATTTACAGACTCAATCATACAGGGTGTGGTTGACTCTTACCCATAAGCACCACCTACAATCTTAGAGATTAAACTGGGTGTACCATTATCTAAACAAAAGAAAATCCAAAAATAAAAAACAACAGCTTCTCCAGATGGAAGGCATCAGTGAAAGAACTCTGGAAGTATGAAGAGTAAGTGCAAAAGGACATCCCCCAAAGGCAATACCACTCTCTAGCGATGGATACCAACCAAAATCAGAATATTGAAATGACAGATAAAGAATTCCAAACATGAATTATAAGTAAGCTCAATGAAATACAAAAGAAAATGGAAAACCAACACACACACACACACGCACACACACACACACACACACCCCACAAAAAAATTTCAGAAAATAATGAAAAATTCACTAAAGAAATCTAATTATTAAAAAAAAAATCAAATAGAACTGCTGGAAAGGAAAAATTCATTCAAGAAAATACAAAACACAGTGGAAAGTATTAAGAATAGACTAGACCAGGCATAAGAAAGAATTTCAGAGCTTGAATACAACACCTTTGGATTAAACAAGTCAGTCAAAGATAAAGAACAGAGAATAAAGAGGAATGAACAAAGCCTACAAGAAATACGGGATTATGTAAAGAGCCCAAACATAAGAGTTACAGGCATCCCTGAGGGTGAAAAAGAAAACACACAAGGGTTGGAAAACCTATTTGAGGGAATAATTGAGAAAAACTTACCAAGTCTTGCTAGAAATTTAGATATCCAGGTACAAGAAGCTCAACGAACACCTGGGAGACTCATTGCAAAGAGGCTATCACCATGACACATAGTCATCAGACTAGCCAAAGTTAATATGAAGGAGGAACTCCTGTGAACTGTAAGGTGAAAACAATAGATAATGTACCAGGGAAAACCCATCAGGCTAACTGCAGACTTCTCAGCTGAGACCTTACAAGCCAGAAGGAATTGGGGCCCCATCTTCAGTCTTCTCAAACAGAATACTGGCCAGCCTCAAATTTTGTATCCTGCAAAACTAAGTTTTTTTAATGAAGGAGAAATAAAGACTTTTTCAGGTAAGCAAACACTGAAGGAATTTGTCAAGACCAGACCTGCCTTGCAGGAAGTACTCAGATCTGCATCGATCAGCACAACAGAAACCCACCAGTGTAAAAATCACTCAAAACCTAAAGCTCAGAGCCCATATAAAATAATGACTCAAGAGGTAAAACAAAGCAATAAGGTTCTACTGACAGGATGAACAGAAATGCATCCCACTTATCTATTCTTTCAATAAATGTGAACAGCTTGAATTCCCCACTCAAGAGACATAGTCTGGCTCAATGGATAAAAAAATAACAAGCCAAGTATCTGCTGTCTCCAGGAAACACATCTAACCCCCAAGGACTCATTCAGACTCAAGATGAAGGGATGGAAAACAATATTCCATGCAAATCAAAGGAAAGCAGGTGTAGCCAGTTTCATATCAAATAACATAGACTTCAAATCAACAATAGTAAAGAAATACAAAGATGGTCATTATATAATGGTAAAGGGAGCAATTCATCAAGAAGACATAACAATCCTAAATATTTATGCACTTAATACAGGTGCACTCAGATTCATAAAGCAAACCCTGCTAGATTTAAACAAAGTGATAAATAGCAACATTGTAATTGCTGAGGACTTCAATGCCTCACTGACAGAACTGGACAGCTCTTCAAGCAGAAAATAAATAAAGAAACATTGGACTTAAATGGGACTCTAGAGCAAATGGGCCTAACAGACATTTACAGAACATTCTACCCAAAAAGTACTGAACATACATTATTCTCATTGGCACATGGGACATTCTCCAAGATTGATCATATCTTAGACCACAAAACATGCCTCAACAAAAGCTAAAAAATATAAATTATACCATGTATCTTCTCAGACCACAGTATGGTAAAGTTAGAAATCAACTCCAACAGAAACACTCCATTCTACACAAAGTCATGGAAATTAAACAGCCTGCTGCTGAATGATTATTGGGTTAAGGAGGGAATTAAGGTAGAAATAGAAAGATTCCTCGAACTAAATGACAAAGGGGACACAAGTTATCAAAATCTGTGAGATTCAATAAAAGCAGTCCTAAGGGGAAAATTCATAGCCTTAAATGCTTACGTCAACAAGACAGAAAGATCACAATTAAACAATCTAATGAATCATCTCAAGGAACTAGAAAAGGAAGTGCAAACCCAAACCCAAACCCAGTGGAAGAAAGGAAATAACTAAGGTCAGAGTAGAACTAAATGAAATCAAAAACAAAGAAATAATACAGAAGATTAATGAAGTAAAAAGTTGGTTCTTTGAAAAGATAAATAAAATTGATAGACATCTAGCTAGTTTTAACCAGAATTAGGAAAGAAATGACCAAAGTAAGCTCAATCAGAAATGAAAAAAGAGATATTACAACTGATACCACAGAAACAAAATATCATCTGTGAATACTATAAAAATCTCTATGCATATAAACTCGGAAACGTTGAGAAAATGGACAAATTCCTGGAAACACACAGCCTCCCAAGGATCAATCAGGAAGAAATAAAAATCTTTAACAGATGAATTATGAACAATGAAATTGAAGCAGAAATAAGAAATCTTCCAACAAAAAAATAGTACTGGACCAGGTGGTTTCACAGCTGTATTTTATCAGACCTACAAAGAAGAATTGGTACCCATACTGTAGAAATTATTTCACAACATCAAGAAAGAAGGAATCCTCCTCAACTCATTGTATGAAGGCAATATCACTTTGATACCAAAGCTTGGAAGACACAAAAAAGAAAGAAAACTACAGACCAATATCCCTTATGAATATAGATCCAAAAATCCTCAATAAAATTCCAGCAATCTGAATTTAGCAGCACACCAAAAAAATAATCCACCACGACCAAGTGGGCTTCATACCAGGGATGCAAAGATGGTTGAACATATGTAAATCCACAAATGTGATTTACCACATAAAAAGAAACAAAAACAAAAATCATACGATCATCTCAATAGATGCAGAAAAAGCATTCAACAAAATTTAGCACCCTTTTATGGTAAAAACTCTTAACAAAATAGGCATATGTGGAACATATCTCAAAATTATAAAAGCCATATAGGAAAAACCCACAGCCAAGATCATATGGAGTAGGGAAAAGTTGAAAGCATTCCCACTCAGAACTGGAACAAGACAAGTATGCTCACTGTCACCACTTCTATTCAACATAGTGCTGGAAGTCCTAGCCAGACCAATCAGGCAAGTGAAGGAAATTAAGGGTATCCTAATGGGGAAAGAGGAGTTAAAATATTACTCTTTGCTGATGATATGATCTTATATCTAGAAAACTCAAAAGATTCTGCCAAGAGACTCTTGGAATTGATAAGTAAATTCAGAAAAGTCTCAGGTTACAAAATCAATGTACACAAATAAGTAGCATTTGTATACACCCACAATAGTCATGCTGAGAATCAAATCAGACTCAATACCTTTCACAATAGCTACAAAGAAAATAAAATATCTAAGAATATATTTAACCCAGGAGGTGAAAGATCTCTATAAATAGAACTATGAATCACTGAGGAAGGAAATTGCAGATGATGTAAACATATGGAAAAATGTATCATGCTCATGGATCAGAATCAGTATTGTTAAAATGTCCATACTACCCAAAGTGATCTACAGATTCAATGCAATTCCCATCGAAATACAAACATTGTTTTTTTTTTTTTTTTTTTTTTTTTTTTGCAGATTTAGAAAAAATAGTTCTATGCTTCTTATGGAATCAAAAAAGACCCTGAATAGCCAAGGCAATCTTACCTAATAAGAAAAAATCTGGAGGCATCACTTTACCATACTTTAAACTATACTACAAGGCCATAGTAACCAAAACAGTATGATACTGGCACAAAAATAGAGACATAGACCAATGGAACAGAACAGAGAACCCAGATATAAAATCATCCACATATTGCCATCTGATCTTTGACAAATGAGACAGCAATATAAACTGGGGAAAAGAATACCTGTTCAATAAATGATGCTGGGAAAATTGGATCCACATGTAGAAGATTGAAACAGAAGCTATATCTCTCACCACTCACTAAAATTAATTCAAGATGGATAACAGTAAATCTAAGACATGAAACTGTAAGAATTATAGAAGAAAATGTTGGAAAAGCTCTTCTATATATCACCTATGCAAAGAATTTATGAAGAAGACCCCAAGGGCAATCATGGCAATGACAAAAATAAATAAATGTGACTTAATTAAATCAAAAAGCTTCTGCCCAGCTAAGGAAATGATCAACAGAGCAAATAGACAACCTATAGAATGGGAGAAAATATTCACAGTCTATACATAAAAGGCTAATAATCAGAATCTACAAAGAACTCAAGCAAATCAGTGAGAAAAAAAATCAAACAACACCATTTAAAAGGGTGCAAATGACATGAATGGAAGGTTTTCAAAAGAAGACAGACAAATGGCCAATAGACATATGAAAAAATGCTCAACATCACTAGTCATCAGAGAAATGCAAGTCCAAATCACAATGAGATATCACTCAACCCCAGTTAGAATGGCTTTTATTAAAAGATCCAAAAACAATAGATGCTGGTGTGGATGCTGGGAGAAAGGAACACTTATGTGCTACAGACTAGTAGAACCTCTATGGAAAACAGTATGGAGACTCCTCAAAGAACTAAAAGTAGACCTACCATTTGATTCAGCAATCCCACTATTGGGTATTTACCCAAAAGAAAAAAAGTCATTTTATCAAAAAGATGCTTGCACTAGAATGTTTATTGTAGCACAATTCACAACCACAAGATGTGTAATTAACCCAAGTGCCCATCAATTCATGAGTGGATTAATAAAATGTGGTATATGTATACCATGGAATACCACTCAGCCATAAAATAATGAATTATTACACTTTGCAACAATCTGGATGGAATTGGAGACCATTCTTCTTAGTTAAGTATTGCAAGAATGGAAAAACAAACACTACATATACTCACTATTAAATTGGAACTAACCGATTAGCACTTATGTGTACAGATGGAAGTAAAACAAAATGGACATCAAGCAGATGGGAGGAGGGAGGAGAGGATGGGTGAAATCATACCTAACGGGCACAATGTACACTATCAAGGTGATGGGCACACTTATAACTTTGACTCAAGTGGTACAAAATCAATCCATGTAACCAAAACATTTGTACCCCCATAATATTCTGAAATAAAAAATAAAAAATAAAAAAAATTAAAATTGTTTAACTTTTTGTATAATGTGGACAGAATTTCTCTGTCATACTATACCTAAAATCAAAATTATCTGGTGAGATTTATTTTAATAGGCTATTAATTCTTTTTATGATTTTAAAGCAAATTTGTGAAATTAAAAATGTCAGCAACTACATAGTATTTTACAATAGGATTCTTCATAATCTTAATAAGAAATCTGATTGAAATTCTTTCCTGATATATACATTAAAACAAATTTATACTGTATTTGTCATCAAGAATGTTAATTACTAAGATAACAAAAGAAGCACTCCTGAATGTAAAATTTGGTTTTGTCTATTCATCTTGTTTCCCCAATATCTAGTACAACGTTGATCGTATAAATTACCCAAGAAATATTAGTCAACTTATACAAATCATGTTTTCATTTAATGCAGTTGTAAATTTGAAATTATCTTTGTGTGATTTACACTTATAAGTTATCATTTCCTCTACTTACAGCTTGGTATAGTGGAAAGAACATAGATTTTTGAGTTAAATAGATGTGTATTTGGATCTTCTTTCTGCCATTGTTAGCTGTGTGACCTCAGATAAGTTAATTGCTTAAGCCTCAATTATATCAATTGTGAGATAATAATCCTTCCTTATAATGGCGGGTTAAATGAACATTAAATGAGATAATATTTATAAAGGATCTACTAGCAGTGTTCAACATAAAATTGACCCTCAACAAATGATAATTTAATATAATGATAATTCCTTTGAAAATAGTAAGTATCCAACTACCATGGAATTTAAAAAGCCCATCTTGAATGATAAAAGCACTTGGAACCTATAATGATGATAATATAAATGATAAGTACCATTTATTACAGAGTGCATGTGCTAGGTATGCACTAAGCACTTTAGAAAGTAACACATGTATTTATTTTTTTTTGTTTCATTGTCGAAAATGAAATTTATAGCTCTTCATTTCACCTTTTTCTCATTTTCAGGGTTTGCTTAGAACCACACTTCTGCATCCCAAAGCTGAACGTTGCTATGCTCAGTACGAAATCACTCAGCTTCTTCCAGGCATCCACCTCTTCTCAGATAGATCCAGGGCTGACATCTGCTCTGTGGTTGCAAGTCTGTATTACGTTATACGTGAACTGCATTTTGTTAAGCAAAATCTATTAGTAAGTAATTTGTAAAATCAGCAAGTCTTAACCACTGTGGTATTTTTGCACCACTAAGTTCATACTTTTCAAATATTGTTAATGTTCTTTTTGGTCAGTTCTTGTTTAACTTTTAAACTCTATATATTTAGGATTCTTATGTAGGCTTCAAAATAAAATGTATTAATTAATACTCTTTCTTTGCATTTTGGATACAAAAGCAATGTCTATTTGATTTTGTTCTCTTTCTATTCTATTATTTTATTTATATATATGTGTATGTATTTAAGATACTTGGTGAAATTGATCAGTGTGTCACTGATGTCAAACACAGGAATCACTGCATTAAGTTGTTCCATTTCATGTCAATACCAAAACCATGAGAGCATTTCCTTATGGCAATAGATTTATGTTCGTGTCTCTTGTCTTTTCTCTATCAAGGGTGCATCTCAGAGAACAACAGATTCTAACTGTTGAGATAAAAAGACAGACATTTCTTACTGTCCTAGGAAATCCAAAAGTCCAAATATAGCTTTCCTTTCCTTTGAGGAAAGAAATCACAGTATACATCGTAAATTTGAAGTTGGTTGCATTTTAAAAATAAATTAGTTTATTCTAACTTTTGGTAATTTTATATCTTCCTCTTTTACCTTATTTTGTCTGTTTTCTTCATTTATGCTCTTTTCTCTATTATTTGGCTTGGTATCTCTTTTTTTTTTTTGCTGTTTTTGCTTCTTAATATCTATTCTTTATCCTTTTCTGCTTCTTTTCCCTTCCTCCATAATTTTCATACTGCTTTCTTTTATTTTTCATATTTTAAAATTCTCTTGGCATATTTGTTCTTCTAAATTCAACTTTCTCTTCATATTGGAAATATTTATTGCCCCCTGATATGATTGGTTAAATTATAAAACCATGTGTTAAAGTGAAGAAGTTGATAAATGTTTTTAATACTTGGCACATTTGGCAGAAATTGTTTATTAAAAAAATAGCAAAATGGTGCTTTTCTTACTGTTAAAGGGATTCATTTCTGGATTGAGAAAATGGTTCTATCCCCTGGGTAACCTTTAGCTGCCTAGTCATATTCATATATAATACATATCACTGTATTGGAAAAGAAACAAAACTTTTTTTCTCTAAAGCTTAAAAAACTGAGATTTTTTTTGAATAATTGAGTAATTGGCAGCAATAAAATGGTGTGTTTCCATTCCTCACTAAGGAAAAGAAACAGTATCAAAGGTAATCGCCAACTCTTAATGTTTTGCGCTGCATTAATTGTAGAAAAAGGTATTGTGTTATGTTTGCGGGGCATAATTGTACAAAAATGTATGGCATTATGTTTGAAATCATTTAAGACCAGTTCTAATCCTTTTAAAAAGCAGTTGCTATTAGTAGCTGCCAGTTGACTGACAACTACAGATTCCCCAGCTGAACTTAACAAGAAGTAAATAGTTTCCATTTCGTATTACATTAACCTTCTCCAGAAGAAGCCCAGTGGCTAAGGAGATTTGTGTGGAATATAAAATTTGCTATGGGACCCAGAGCTACGGAACCATGGGAAATAGATTGCTAAATAATCTGTTGGGGATCCCAATACTCCATCTCCCTTTGGCAGGGTAGGATATAGTTGCATGAACTAAGTTTCGGATTTGAGTTGAGATTGGGAGCTGTTCCAATGTCTGGGCAAATTGTCCCCTCAACATCTTTTTTCTGAATGGATAGTGGCTAGGTAAATTGAAATATTTGGTAGTCTCTAAGCCTTCACATATATTCATAAGACTTCAAGAACAATTGAGTTTTGGGTTATTAATAATTCTAGAAAAGTAAAAATATTATGTAGAGACTAAACTTGGATTTTAATCAGTAGAATATGTGCTATGAGAAGGCAAGGACTTGTTAGATTTTGTTCTCATCTATCAGTGTCTAACACACCATAGGCATGTTACAAATATTTTTTTGCTGGTAGTAAAATCCTAATTGAAGACAAATAGCAGCTGACATTGAAATGAATAAGTAGGAGCTGGTTAGGGAATATGGATTGAGTTCCTTTGCTTTAAATTTTACATTCATTTGATTGCTCATTTGCTAAAATTTTTCCATAGGCCACAGTGATTCATGTATTTATATTGACTTAATTTTTTTCAAGGAAGATAATCAATTGGGTTTTAATTTTTTCATGCTTAAAGAGATGTGAAACCTAGGTTTGGGATACCAAATGGCATCTACTTGGAGCTATAAGTATCTGATAGCATCTTACAATTCTGATAAAATTATAAAGCATATGCTAGGCAGATCATTTCATTTATACCAAACAGTATAGTCTTCTAGCCTGGAAAATCAATCAATATTTTATATAACATTTCCTACATTTAATGTTTGGCTAAATTTGATTATTAGGTTATTAACTTGATAAAATATATTTTAAAACAAAGTGTTTTTCTTCTGGTAGGTTCTGCCACTCCTTGCATTATACCAATATTTTGTTTCTGTAATTTGCCAAGACCTAGTCAGAAATTTAGAAGCAAGAATCCTCAAGGTATGTTGCAAGCTTTTAAGACATTTGCTGTTCTTGGACTGTTAAGGATACTGTCACACATTTATCTGATCCTAATAATCATAATAATAAGCAGATAATGATGTGTTGTTATACTGGTATAAAAATAACTTACCCATTATTACAATAAAGCCAAAGAGCCAGTTAGAAAGATTTAAATCATTTTGTGCTTCGGACACAGGAAAGTGGGGAATAGCTGCACATAGAAACAAGGCTTACCCAACACCAGTCAACCTGGAAATCACTACTTCTGAGAGATTGGCTTCCTGGTGGAGCCCAAATGAGCCAGTTTTCTGAAGTTATATGAATTTGTTCCTAAGGACCTTTATGGATATCATGGTATACAGATATTTTTAATGCATAGGCAATTGAATTAACAAGATCAGACAGACACTAAATTACAATAAATTCTGTAACCCAAAAGTCAGTTATGTTTCTTTTATTCATGTGCAATGGGCTTGAACACCATGTGGCTTGGGAACCTCAAGTACCTCATTCTCTCTGCCCACTTTCCTGGTGACCCATGTTGCATGCTCCCACTTTTGTTGAATTTGCTTTGTACACGGATCATCTCAACATTTAGAAAATTTGTCCTGCACCTCCTCAACTCTAATATAAAATTCAACCCTCTTCTGTATTTTACAAACACACAGGTACCCACACATTTATTGACACATAAACACACACAACATGTGTTTACCCAAGGTCTTTCTTTCTATTTTGGACCTTACTGAAAATTGGGAAGATAGGGAAATTTAAGTTGAGGCAAAACAAACGGTTTAAAATAGAATATTGGGCATTCTGGAGCTGAAAATATTTCTTGGCCTCTCATCTAATGGTGTAGTCAGCTATGTGGTAGTAAATGTTTCACAATTGCCTCTAACCGCCCCCCCAACCCTGCCAAAACGTGGATTTGTAGCATTTGCAATTTCCATCCATGGTGTAAATACTCCCACTGTGGTTGACTTCAAGCTACCAACTAGGTGTCACTAAAGATGGAAATGGGACAAGATGTACACAGTCAGCTCTTGCCATTGGGAGTGAGTGGGTTCCAGCTCACCACTGGCTTAATCTTCTCTTCCCTTTTTTTTGAAATACCCTCTATATTTCTTCCCCAAATCCCTCTCATTTTCTAATGAGGGAAAATTAGACTTCTCTTTGAACTATTCTTCCCATCCAGACCCTGTCCTTGGGCCCATGTTTTCAGACCCAAATAGTCCATTAAATTCTACTTCTAAATGAAGAAATTCCTAAGAGGAATTCTGGTGATGACTATTAGTATATTTAACCTGGGAATAAATAATTTGTTATTGACCATGAAAATTTCTGGATCACCCTCTCTGAGTTACTGAGCTCTCTTATGAGTTCTCTTGATTTTGAATTCCAGTAACACTTGGAAAAAAAACTGCATATAACAATATAACATTTCTTTCTCTCCCTCCCTCCCTCCCTCTCTCTCTCTCTCTCTCTCTCTCTCTCTCTCTCTCTCTCTCTCTCTTTCTCTCTCTCTCTCTCAATTGTGCTCTCTTCAATATTTAAAAATTCTTGAGGGTAGGACCTGTATCTTATTCATCTTTTAATTCCCTATAGTGTCTGGAGAATAAGTTCACATACTTGATACTCAGCACTTCATTATTGAATTGAATTTAAAATCCGAAGACCTTTACCAAGAGCCTGTTGTCCATACTCTCTTTAGTGTTTAGTGGAAACTCACCTGAAAAGTACTTGGTAGATATTTATTGATTTAACTCTAAAACAACATTTATTGAGTACCTCCTATTTAAAAGCATTATGTTAGTCATTCAAATCGAAGGTATGTAACCCATGGTCCTTGCTTATAACAAAGTGAAAACTGGGAAGAAAGACAGGACATACACCCAAGACAATGTGCATGCACCCGCCGTTTGATTATTTCCACATGAGTGTGATGACCACTAGGTCTCCAGGAGTTTGAAAGAGAGAAAAATGGCTTTGAGTCTTTAGGTTTCACCAAGTAGGTAAGATTTAGACTTCAAAAGAGCTTAACTAACTGAGCAAGAGAGAGGAGGAAGGGGACATTCCTAGCAGACAGAAGAGTGAAAGATACAGAGGTGACAAAGTAGAGACTTGTTTAGTGAGCAGGGGTGTTTCAGTTATGCCGGAGCGGAAGTTTTGAGTGGGAGGTTGTAGAAGGTAACAGGAGAATGCCAGAGGTCCATGACATGGGGAATACCAGGGACCCATCTTAAATTCCAAACGTGGAGGTTGAGCCATGGGAGAAATGAAGAGATTGAGGAGTCAGAATTTGGAAACAGGTGCATTCTGGGCTGTCATTAAGAGGCAAGAAGCATGGGAGGGTCGCAATGACCATTAACAACTTGTCAGGAGGAGATCCAGAGGGACACTGAAAGGCATAATCTGGAACAAAATTTTTGTTTAGATGACTATTTTCTATTGTATTGTTAGCAGTTGGTAGCTGCTTTTGTCCTAGAGTAGTGCAAAAGCCAATGAAGAATTGGCTTGGTGGTGGCTGGATTAGCTGGTTGGTGGGTGGATTAGTTATAGAATTTTTTTTTTTTTTGAGACAAAGTCTCGCTCTGTCGTCCAGGCTGGAGTGCAGTGGCGTCATCATATTTCACTGCAACCTTGATTTCCTGGGCTCAAGCCATCCTCACGCCTCGGCCTCCAAGAGTGCTGGGATTACAGGTGTGAGCCACCTCGCCTGTCCTAGTTACAGAATTTTGATTAGGAGAGTGACACGATCACATTTGTTATCTAGTAACAATGTTGGGAGCAGAGTGAGATAGAAGTGGGATCTTCCTGGCATAGCAGGATTGAAAAACCAGACTAGGGTTCTGACAGAAGCAATGAAAAAAGGCAACAGATGGATTGTATAGAGGAAGAAATGGCAGCCTGTGTGAGCTGAGTTTACCTGACCCTACTGAAATAAACAGGGATCAGTGAGCGGGAAGACAGAAGAGTCAGTCAGGAAACAACAGTGATGCTTTTTGACAAATCAAACAGCAAGAGATCACACTGTTAAGTTTCTAAAGTGGCCCAATGTCTTTCTGGGAAAACTTCACGATCTCCTTGTGATCAGCATGTCTGGCTCCACTTCAGAACCGCCAGCATCTTGATAGATTTATTCCTCTCGACACATCAAATGTCCCTAGGAAGGGTGCTGATGGTTCTGTGTCTGTGTGAGCGAAAGGTTGATTTATGGGCAGTTCTTCTTGCCGTCTGGCTTGGTTGTGTTCACAACGTTGGTCACTTCTGAAAATATATGTCCGTTATTAAAACCATTGCTTTTTCAAAGGGTCAGATTAGTATGACACATTGAAGCCAGATATAGTCTGTGTACAGCAATTTTATAGGCAAGACCCAAGGAGATTATCCACACACAGGTATGGGGAAGTGTTTCCTCTTAGGTGTAATGAGAAAAATGGTCATCTAGAAACCTGAGAGAGTTCATATGTCTCCTTAAGTGCTGATTTTGATATTGTATAGCACTGGGGAGTTTGGAGCCCAAGGTGTCTTAGGCAAGAACGAAAGTATGCAACCCAATAGACAAGCAATTTTCTCTTTCCCATTAAAAATACTCCCCTGACCTTTTGTGTCTTATTTTCATATCCAATTTCCCCTTCTTACCTTCTCTTTATTTCTTTCAAATTTACACAATCTTGAGATTCCTAAGATAATACTGAAAGGCAAACAGAGAGTAAAATGGGTAGACATGCTGAGGATAAATTGATTTTTCTTTTTTATGTTATATATCTGTATCTATATCTTAATCCAATTTTGTATTTTATTCCCTGCTCCACATTTACCCTTCTCTATTCTCTACAAAGTCACTAGATGCTTTCAAAACATAAGTCAGGTTAGGGCCCTGCCCTGTTCAAAACCCTCCAAGAACTTTTTACCATACAGAGAATAAAACGCAAAATCCTTACTCTGGTCTTCAGCCTCCACTTGACACCCTCCCTGGCCACCATTCACACTCACCTTCTTACCTTCCTCCCCTCCTCTCTGAGCTCCTGCCCCAGGACCTTTATATTGAGGTTCCCTCAGCAGAATTTTCACGTCCCTTAATGTCATTCCCAAATCACCTCTATAAGGTCTCCTCCACTGACAATTCCTTCCTGACCACAATCTTGAAAATAGCTTTTGTTAGTATCCTCTAAGCCTTTTCATGCCGTTTATATCTTCATGTGTCACTTAAATTTAGCTAAACATACATCCCAATGGAATGTAACCTCCAAGAGGGCTTGGTGCACAGGACATGCTCAGTAAACATGTAGAATGAATGAATGAATTGAAACAGGAAGTTTTCTTTCCTTCCTATACTTTCCTAATTGATACTCCTGCTGAATTGTATTCAAAATAAGCCACATGAAATGTATAGAGATCAATTGATTAATATTGTTAAGTATATGTCTTTAAAATTGACAGTGTCCAACAGTTATGGATAAGAAAATTGATAGTTGTCTCTATGTTGATACATCATGAAGTAGTCTCTTGGTTTGACTTTTCTCAGAGTGTTAGAAAACATCAGGAGTGTTTTTGTTTTTCTTGTAAGCCATAGTTCATAATGGGAACAAAATAATAATTTTTTAAAACTTTTCAACAGCTATCATATTTTTGTCTGTTTGCCTCTGATGAAGTAAGCAACATCTGATAAATGTCCGTGGTTTTGAGCAGCCGCCTGCTGTTGTTTGTTAGCTCCGCGGTCCATTGCACATGTAAATGAGCATGCACACAAACTCATGCATCTCCATCCACTCGTGTCTAGTAAACATTAATTTGTAATGCATTACCAATGTTTAGCAGAAATTCTGGATCTCAGGAATTTGATGATTTTTCTCTAAAATTTTTTAAAATTTTAATTGATTTAATTTTTAATTATTTAATTAAAATATCATATTTTCCTTTATAGATAGAAGTCCTTATAGATTTGGGATTCTTTTCTGAAGCCTTTTATGAGATAATCCAGATTTTTTATGGAAAAAACTTGCCTTGCTCAATACCTGCTGGCTATAAAGCTATGGGAAAAATGAAGGTAACCTGCAATTTGATTCAAAGCCATTTCTTTATCTTTGAAGGTTACATTCCTAAAATGTAGGAATATACTCCCACAGATGTATATTTACAAGTCTCTGGTATTCCAGACCTCTTTGGTAAGCCTAGTTACAACTAACATCAGGTTTTTATGAGGTTACATTTAACGGGAATGGAAGTGTGTCCTGGGGAAGGAGACGTGGCTTTGGAGTAGATCTTTGCAGTTGAATTTTGGCTCAGAGATGCTGCCATAGTTACCATGAACAGTCTCATTATACACATGTGTCAGCCACTACCTCTTAGACTTTGGGCTCTAATCTTATCATTTCTGGTCAATGTTCTCAATCAAAATAGTCTTTCCTCATATCTTATTTGGATCTTTTTGATTTTTATACTTCATACCAAAGAGATAAGAATGTGCTGTTCGAATTTCTTCTGATTTCTGTCAGGAGAGAATATCCCTCTATTTTGTCTCATTGTTTTTGATTTTAGGAGATAGTTTTACCTGGCTTGCTTAATTTGTGTTTGTAAACTGGATAACTGAAGCATCTTTGAAAATGAATACTGGAGTTGACATTTAATGCATAAATTAAATCAGAGTGAGCTGTTATTTTCCTCTGCTTTGGTTTTCACAGTGATCTGGGAATCACTGGGTGGTCTTGCTTCAGGCAGATGCTTGGACCCTCCTAGGCCAGCAATAAAGAAACTAGAAGGAGGCAGTGACTCAGTTGGCCTGGGGCTGGGTGGTGTGTGAGGAGTGAGACTCACAAGATGTAACACGTGCTGGTTGGGTTCAAATTTGGAGGACTTTAAAGAACCTGGGGAATGAGCTATTAGTCTTGAAAATCACTTGCATAAGTTGGCATTATATTTACATATAATAGGTTCATTATTTCAGCATATTTCCCTAAAACATACCTGCTTATTACTCCGTATGACTGTTATAGCATTATAATTTATTGTAATAGGGTAAGTGTGAGGCTATCCACAAAACATCCTAAGAGGAACATTCATTAGGCAATAGGATACATATATATGTGTGTGTGTGTGTATCCCTGTATATGTGTATATCTGTGGGTGTGTACACACACATACACACACACACACACGCGCGTGGACACACAGGAGAGAGAGGAGAGAGAAGAGGCTATTTGTTTTAGTTTCCGTGTCATGAACTAATTCATCTTCTTAGCAGGGTTAAATTAGTAGTATTTTATTATTTGCTTTTCAGTCAACAGCTTTTCTCTATTCTAAATGGTTTGCATTTTGTTATTAAAATTATCCTTTAATTAGTTGAAAAATATGTATTAAGCGCTCACTGAATACAGATGCCACTTTAGGCATGGGGATAGAATGGTAAAAAGACTAATGGAATTATCACTTTCCTGGAGCTTACAGCCCAGTGAGAGAGTCCAGGAGGATGAGAAGGAAAGAGAAACCAGTTGGGTAGAGTGAGAAGCAACACAGAGTTTTCAATGGCCACTTGCACCAAATCAAAAAAAACAAAAGGTCTGAAACTATTTTTTACATGTAAATTTCAAACTTCATTTTTATTGACTAGCTTTCATAAGATAAATGTGTGGGTGAATTATCTCCCAATGGATTCTGATTTCAGATTTTATATTCTTGAAGTTAATTTGCAGCTTTCCGGCTTCAATTGGGAATTTAAAAAGTGTAATTAAAAGAGGAAATGCGTTCAGGGTTTATAATTAAAATAGGTGCCGATGTTATTAGGCTGCAGTCTAGTTATTTAAAGAAGGGACTAATGAATTAAGTTTCACTTCCAAAAAAAGTAACTGAAAAAGTCTTACAGATTACTACGGGACTTTTCATATGCCTTTAAAAAAATCTATATTTTAACACTATACTCATATTGGGATTCTGCTCTTATCACCAAGTCTAAAGTCCCATTATCAGCTCTCTTTAATTTATACCATCAAAGATCTCCTCCTAGATTTAGTTACTCACTTTTTAATGTATTATGGGCAATAAAGAATATCTTCAAAGAAGGAAAAAAAAATTTAAACACTTACCAATACTTTTTTTCCAATAAAATCTATATGTGATATATTGTTTTGGGGGCCCCTCGAAAGCAGATCCTGAGACTAGGATTTGAGAACAAGTAGTACATTTGGGAAGTGATTCCAGGAATTATGGTGTGCAAGTGGGAAAGTCTGGGAAGGGAGGAAAACAAATCCAGAGATCATTAATGAAAAGGTCACTGCTGTGGGCACCTGTGTCCCTCAGAGAGACTGGATAGACCCTTTCTCTTGTCCTTCCTTGGTGAGGTTTGTTCCCTGCACTTGTAGTCTCTCCTGAACATTCTTAGGGCCACAGAATGCCCTCAGGCACAGAGGTACAGGTGCTTGCGGTGGGATATCATCCAGGTGTGAGCAACCTGTCCAAGAAAGCTGTTGGTGACTTCCCGGTGACTGAGGGCATAGGGGAGGAGCCAGTATTGGCTTCTATGAACAGGCATCTTTTTAAAAAGGCCTTCCATACCAAGAGGGATGCATCCTACTCAATGATGCAACTTCCCGTGACAAATAAACTAAATGTTTCCTAATGCAGCATTACATTTAGAGCCAAACATATTAACAGGAAAAGAACCACAAAAGTAGTCATTACTAATAGTAATACAATTTTACCTCACACTGGCAAGGATTAAAGTGATAATACTGAATGTTTTTAAAAGGGCAATAATCCTGGCATTTTCAAACACTGTGGGTGGGAGTGTAAATTGAGCCAGCTCCTTCCAGTTTTCTCAATATATTTTTATCTTCTGACCCAGAAATTCTGCTTCTAGGAATCCATCCAAAGGCAATAATCAGAAATGCAGACAAAAATAGTCATCAACGTTATTTAAACCAGGGCTGAATGGTGAAGTGGTAGTGGGAGGTGGCCCCCTTAGATGCCAACAACAGTGGGCAAGAAGTTAAGTTATTATGCTACATTCGTAGGGTAGAATATTACCTACCTATTATACTAATGGTATGGGGAGAAAATTATGATGTAATGTTTAGAGAAAATGGAATACAAATCTATATACAATTTTTAAAAATACATCAAAAAGAAATTGATAGGAAACACATAGAAATATTAGCATTGATCACCTGGAGGAAGTTGACTTATATATGATTTTTTAGTTTCTTCTTTATTCTATACTAATCTTTTCTGACTAGAGCAAATGTTTCTTTTACAATAAAATGGTACTTAATTTTAGAAGAATACATTAACATTTTCATTTAAAAGAATACTCAAATAATCTTGTTCCTGCTGTTAATATTTTATATTTTGACAGCTATTTCAATCATTTGACTCAGGAAAACCTCTCAACACTAAAGAAAATATACAGGTAAGGAAAACAATATTTCATAAACATTGGATATTTATTGTGGATAATTTTTGGGTCATTTCAATCTATTTGGTAGGTATAATCTTTGATTTTGAAAATCTGCTATGTAATATGCTTTTCTATTTCTAATAATAGGGTTTTGTCTCAAAATTCTTAGAAAAGAGGTAGGGTTGAATCAAACTGATCTGGTTTTCTGGTTGGGCAAGTAGCAGTTACTGCTTCTATTTCTCAATTACAGATGTGTATTCAGTTTGTTCATATAGCCATGTCAACTATCTCTAATCTTAATATTTATCTTGATTACCTAGAAGGTAATGGCTGACTTTGATTGTAAGAAAAGGATTTTGTACATTTTACAATAGCCCACAACAGGCATGGGGAACCTGTGGCCTCAAGGCCACATGTGGCCCTCCAGATCCCCAAGTGTGGCCCCTTGACCGAATCCAAACTTCACAGAACAAATCCCTTTATCAAAAGGCCTCACTCAAGGATCCAGAAGATCTCATCTAAGCCATGTCAAGTTTCTCTAATCTTAATATTTATCTTAATTACCTAGAAGATAATGGCTGACTTTGATTGTAAGAAAAGGATTTTGTGCATTTTGCAATAGCCCACATGTTCCATACTGCTTTTGCTTATATTATTTCTTCCCAGGTCTCAGACTGTCAGTCAGCTCTGCTGACTTCCTCAATAGTTTTCACAAAAAGGATTAGATTGCCCATCTAAATGTATTTGTTACTGTTACTGAATGGTTGGGATTTAAGCCTTCGATGACCTAGTAGCATTTAAATATCTTTAAATCTTTAAATAATCATTTAGAACGATCTTAGGAGTATTGGCACTCTGTCACCCAGAAGTGTTAGAGCAGAAGAGTTGTAGCACAACCATTACAAAAGACAGTTATAGATGGGGAAGGAGTTTGTAGGACGAGGTGATAGTTAATGCCGAGAGATACAACATAATTTTTATTTTTATTTTTATTTTTTGAAATGCTAGGAAACAGTATTCTGTTTTATTAAGTTTTTTTAATGAAATAATTTTGAGAGAAATTTTCTCAAAATTGCTTTATTTTTGTCTTCCATAATTTTGATAGGAATATAGCCACCTTTTATTAAATGTAATCTTATTATGTTTCTATTATTGTGCATTTTATTCCACAAAGTTTAATTTTAATTATTCTTGAGATGATTCATTGTTTTTTCCTAAAAATTTGTTTTAATTTATAAGCAGATTGCCTGAAATGAAAGAACTGGAATTAGGGAGATAACAATACATATTCATATTTCATTGTAGTGTTACAAGACCTTGGGGTGTTTTAGAACATTTATTTCTTTCCAGTAATAAATGCCAGGGCATCCTAAAAACACTTCCTTAAAGAGTGGTTTTCAGTATAAAAAGAATGTCTGTCTGATCATTTTTTTTTAATGCAAAAAGAGACTAACAGTATCATGGAAAGCTGATTTCTATTAGCCAATTAATTAAAACAGTACTGTTGGTCTGCGTAAGACTCTTCAGATTACACTCTGTATTTCTTTTTTTTTTTTTGCATAAAGGGAGAGAAAGAAGTGTTAAATAGCATTACTAATTAATCTTCTTTTGATCCTCAAGTGTTTGTATGTAATTGTCAAGGCTCATTAAATCACTGTTTGCTGTGGAGAGAAAAGAGAAGAGAAACCTTCTCCTCTCCTCCCAGCCCCCAACCAATCTGGTTTCTTCTCTAGCTAGGCAGGGACAGCCATTTTCCTAGTGCGACAGTTTGGTAGCAGGCTCGGGGGCCACTCCGTGTCTGGCTCTTCTGCACGTCCCGAATCCCACCTCCTAGAGGAGATTAGCAAAAAAGAAAGAACAACAGCAACAACCTCCCCACTGCTACATTGCTTAGAGGTCTTCCCAACATTGGAAATTGTTTTTTGTTGCACAAGGCAAATAGTTTCCCTCTTTTCTAGAATAGATAGCCCCAGCATCTGCCTTTTATATTAATTCAACAAATATTTAATAAGAGCCTATCGTGGACAAGGCGCTATTCTGATACTGTCAATCAAATACATCAGTCAATCAACAATACAAACTCCAAGTCCTCATGGAACTTATATTTTAATGGGCAAGACTTGTAATAAACATGATATACAAGTAAACATATTATAAATACATAAATTATATAGTATATTAGATGGAGAAACATGCTATGGGAGAAAATAAATGCAGCAGCACCTAAAGGGGGTTAGAGACAGAGGGCTAGGTTAAATGGGATGATCAGATTAGTCTTCACTGAGGTGACTTTTATCAACATACCTGAAACAGGTAAAGGTGCAAGCTGTATGAAATTTGGAGAAAGAACCATCTAGAAAGAGGGAGCAGCAAGTGCAAAGGCCCTGAGACAAGATTGCTTAGCTTGGTGAGGGGTGTCTTAGCCAATGTGGCTAGAGCTGTGTGAATTACAGGGTAGCAGCAGGAGATAAGGTCAGAGAAGTCAAATTGAGAAGGACCTTGTAGGGCCATTGTAATTTAGCCTCTCATCTGAGCAAAATGGGGAACCACTGGAGTTTTGAACAGGAGTGAGGCCTGGTCTACTGTTTTAAAGGGATCACTTTAGCTCTGTGAACCCGAGCCCTGCCGGGCCATGGCCCAGTACAAGTCTGTGGCCTGTTAGGAAATGGGGTGCATTTCACCGCTGGAGCTCTGCACCACCCCTGCCCCTAACACCCTCACCCTTGGTCTGTGGAAAATTGTCTTTCATGAAACCGGTCCCTGGTGCCAAAAAGGTTGGGGACTGCTGCTTTAGCTAATCTGTTGAGCCCGCTGTGTGCCAGGTACCGTGGCAGAGCTGGTGCTGTCCATTAAACACATCACAGTCAACCAACAAAACAGACAAATTCCCGGCCCTCACAGAGCTTACCTTTGTGTGCGTGTGTGTGTGTGTGTGCGTGTGTGTGTGTGTGTGCATGCGTGTGCACGCATGTGTGTGTGTTTGTGTGTGTGTGTGTGTGTGTGGTGTGGTGGTGGTGCTAGGGGACAAGGAATACGGCTTTGGACATGCTGAGTTTGAGATGTCTGTTAGACATCCAAGTAGAGGAGTTGAGTCAGAAGTTGATTCTGTGAGTCTTGAGTTCAGAAGAGAGGGTGGAACTAAGGAGCAAAACTTGTGATTTCATCAGTCTTTAGATGAAATTAAAACCTTGAGCCTGATTAAGATCATCTAAGGGTAGGCAATGAAGAGAAGGAAGAGGACTGAGTCCCAGCACACTCCGATATCACGAGGTGCAGGAGAAGAAGAGGAATCAGCAAAGAAGACTGAAAAGGAGTGGCCAGTAGGATGGGAAGGAAACTGAGGGAATGTGGTGGCCTGAAAACCAAAAGAAAGCATTTTCAGGAGTCGGTAATCAATAGAATCACATGTTGCTGATGAATCAAGTACCACAATTCACTGAGTCTTAAACATGAATTTTGTTCACATTTAACATCTCTAAAATCAGAATGCATTTTATAGTTGGTGACATGTGACAGTTTAATTCACATAGGAGATATTGGTGTCTTAGATTAGAAGCAATATGGTATATGAGGACTGAGAATTGATCATTGGATTTGGCCAGGTAGAGGCCATTGGTGACCTCGACCAAAGGGTTTGGGTGTAAGGATGGAGTGGGTTTAAAAGCAAATGAAAGGAGAGAGATTGGACTATTGTCAACTCTGGAGTGTTGCTGTAAAGGGAAGCAGAGAATTTGGGTGGAGAGGGAAGTTGGGGTACAGAGGGATTTTGATTTTTTCAGATGGAGGAGGTGACAGCATGGCTGTGTGTTGATAGAAGTATTTCTATGATGTTGTAGAGAATGGCTGAGTAGGCCACCTGGGGCAGGATTGATGGCCTAAGTGGCGGCGCCATCTTTAGGTAGCAGGAAGGAAGGCAGAGCTGTGGGGGCGGATATTCAAGTGTGTGACATAGATGAGCAGTGCACTGTACCCTGACTGCTTCGATTTTCTCAGCAAAGTGGAAGAAGCAAGGTTATTAGCTGGGGGTGGAGAGAGGTAGGAAAGGGAAGGAAGGGTTAGAATTTTGAGGGAAGGGCATGAAATGGTTGTGCAGGGGAGAGGGAGAGAGACTATATTGACAAAACGTAGGAATATTGCCAGGTAGTGCTGAGGTTTGGTCAGGTACTTAAAGTGGGGCCACTTGCATAGTTGTGTGATTTTCTCCAGCCCACCCCAACTGCAAGGGTGCAGGCCCTAAGAAGGTTCAGAGTTGGGTTTCAGAGTAGGGACTATGATTTTGCGAAGGAAATGGGTGTATGCACAGGAGAGGGGCCAGGGACTTGAGAGTGTTTACAAGTAGGAGTTCTAATAACTGACCGGGGACTCTAAGCTGAGCAGGGAGAGCGCTTACCATTCTTCCTTCCTGTTCCTGACCAACCAGCTCTGATTTACTCATGCTAAGGCAGAGTGGATGAGGTGTGTGGCTGGGGAACATTTGCAGTTTCTCTATTTTGATAATGTGTCCAGGTTCACTCTGCCACATGTGGCAGGGCTGGCCTCCTGAGGCGCAGGTCAGAAATTGGTGGGAAATGATGGCAGCATTGCTGAACTGCTGGGATGACTTGGACATCATATGTCTTTCTCTGTGGACCTGCCATTTATGGTACCCATGTCTATTCCTGTATCCCTTCATCCAATGACCAATGGGGACCACAAAGGGGAATGAGGCTAATAATATCTGAAAAAGTATTTTACTAATTTGCTTTTGTCCCTTTGTTTTTTTCATTTTTTAGGCACTTGACGAATTAATAAATAAAAGCTTGCCTGCAATTCTGGTTACAATTGGCCAACAGCATCTCTCAAATAAATTTTATTTTGTTAAAGCATACTTTTTCATAAGTGTGGCTGCAACAATAAATTGTATTCCAGAAAATACATGTAAAACAGTCTCTCATGGACTTGTTACTGACAGGAGCAAACTGAACCCCCCAAACTTGAGAGGTAATTGTTTTATTTTTTGCTTGTTTCCTTTTCTTCTTCCTTTCCCCAACTACTCCCAATTCTACCCCACTAATCCATATGAATGATCTAGTAGATATTTTTCTATAT